AGGGAGGAAGGAAGGAAGGAAAAAGGAAGGAAGGAGGTAAGGAAGGAAGGAGAGAGGAAGGAAGGAAGGAAGGAAGGAAGGAAGGAAGGAAGACGGAAGGAGAGAGGAAAGAAGGAAGAAGGAAGGGAAGGAAGGAAGGAAGGAAGGAAGGAAGGAAGGAAGGAAGAAAAAGGAAGGGGAAGGAAGGAAGGGGGTAAGGAAGGAAGGAAGGAAGAAAAAAGGAAGGAGGTAAGGACGGAAGGAAGGAAGGAAGGAAGGAAGGAAGAAAAAAGGAAGGAGGTAAGGAAGGAAGGAAGGAAGGGAAGAAGGGAAGAAGGAAGGGAGGAAAGAAAGAAGGAGGTAAGGACGGAAGGAGAGAGGGAGGGAGGGAGGAAGGAAAGAAGGAATGAAGGAAGGAAGGAAAACGGAAGAAAGGAAGGAGGTAAGGACGGAAGGAGAGAGGGAGGAAGCAAGGAAGGAAGGAAGGAAGGGAAGGAAGGAAGGAAGGAAGGAGAGAGGGATGGAAGTGATGAAGGAAGGAAAAAGGAAAGAAGATTTAAAGTAAAATGCAAAGAAACAAGGCAATTCTATATAAAATCAGAAAAGTTTCTGGGACACCTAAGGAGAAAAGAAGGCTTGGAAAATTCGGCACCCACAAGACATATTGAAGGCAAGAGAGACAGAAGAAATCAGAGACTTAACTAGTATGGGTAAATGGATGGCACAAGAAGGAACGAGAATGACATTAAAAAGACAGCCACTGCTAGTATCTACATTAGATAGGAAGTTGTGGAGAGCCATGATTGTCCACGCTCTGATGGGTCACGGCACATTGATGAAGAGAATAAATAAAGGAATAAGAGAACGAAAATAAAAGTGTAAAGGAATAAAATAAAAAGGAACGAATAAATCCATGAATAAATAAAAAATAAAAAATAAGAATAAATGAATAAAAGATTGAAAGAATGAAGGATAAAATAAATATTAAAACTAAAAAATAAATGAATAACTGACTCAAGAATGAAGGAATAAGGGAATAACTATTAAAACTAAAAAAATAAATGAATAACTGACTCAAGAATGAAGGAATAAGGGAATAAATATTAAAACTAAAAAAATAAATGAATAACTGACTCAAGAATGAAGGAATAAGGGAATAAATATTAAAACTAAAAAAATAAATGAATAACTGACTCAAGAATGAAGGAATAAGGGAATAAATATTAAAACTAAAAAAATAAATGAATAACTGACTCAAGAATGAAGGAATAAAGGGAATAAATATTAAAACTAAAAAATAAATGAATAACTGACTCAAGAATGAAGGAATAAGGAATAAATATTAAAACTAAAAAAATAAATGAATAACTGACTCAAGAATGAAGGAAGGAATAAATATTAAAACTAAAAAAATAAATGAATAACTGACTCAAGAATGAAAAATAAGGGAATAAATATTAAAACTAAAAAAATAAATGAATAACTGACTCAAGAATGAAGGAATAAGGGAATAAATATTAAAACTAAAAAAATAAATGAATAACTGACTCAAGAATGAAGGAATAAGGGAATAAATATTAAAACTAAATAAAATAAAGGAATAACTGACTGAAAGAATGAAGGAATAAGGGAATAAATAAATATTTAAATAAAATTCCCATTTCTAAAAGAAAAAATGCGTAGAGATTATTTAAAGAAATGTCTGACCCAGAAGACAGTCAAAATTCTTAGTTAAGAGATATGATTAGATGTGTGTGTTGGGATGGGAGAGATGTTGAAGATAAAACTATGAAAATATGCGGAGGGAGGTGGGGGGGTTGATCAATGAACGTAGATTTTTTTTTTCAACTGGTTCCGACTCATCTTTTATATGAAGAGTTTAAGTCAGATAACAAGGTTTTCATTTCAAGTCACCCCCTTGGGAAAATCACACAAACCATCCTTTTTTTTTTTTTAGTGAACATGTTTCGTTACTTTGGAGGGACGAACATGAAACTGACAGATTAATGCGTATGATTAGAGCTAGACACATGGTTATGTAAAATCGTAAGTGTTATGGGGTCACTGCTAATCCCAGTTGACAAATATCAGCTATCATGTTAATTTTAATCTTTACAGTTATATTGATAATGTTTCTTTTTAGACCTTTCAGATCCTGCATACAGTTTCTTTTCTCTTTTGCAAAAATCGAGATGAAAATAAGTTATGCCATATACATATATACATCATGGCTGTCGAATCTTTTAACGAGTATGACCATCGCTGACAAGTTTGATCCATGACTTTTAGTTCTATTGTGCACGACAATGGCCATTGAAGCCGGTAAGTGGCTTGCAGTGGTCATTGTAGACGTGACAAACGAAGTTGTTCATACAGCCTTTAAGGACACTCTTCTTCCATAATGTCACAAATTATAAAACATATATATATATATATATATATATATATATATATATAACCGGATATAAGAGAGTTGTCAGGACCGGAGAAGAAGTCTTTTATATCCGGGTTTCTCTTATATCCGGGTTTGGTCTATTTTATATACATTAACACAGGCTCTAATTTGGGACCAGAGAAAATCTCTCTTATATCCGGGTTTCTCTTATATCCGGGTTACATCCGGTGTATATATATATATATATATACATATATATATATATATATATACACGCCAATCATGCGACTTTTGAAGACCTAATTGAAAGTTAATTTTAAGGGGGTCGCATCATACACGAGATAAGAAGTTAGCGTATGTCTTGCTGGACCGAGCTACGCCGTCGACCAAATTATATATTCATTTACTGTAGCGAAAAAATACAGCTGTATTTAAAATAAACATAGTTTTAATAAAACTTATGTTTTAACTTAACTGTATCCAATAATAATGCATGTAATATTCACATATTAGTATCGTAGTATAAAATCGAGTATGCATCTTTTCCATTTACTTTTATAAGATGTTTAGCTGTTTCTCGTTCGGTTATTTATGGCCGGACGAGTATAGCGTTACTAACGATACTTTTATCATTCTCTTTTACTTTTTTAAAATATTTAACGAGAGGATGGGATAAAGAGATAGAGAAAAAGAGGTTAGTCTATTTTAATTTGGTCTCTCAAAAAAGGAACTCACATGATTAAAATCACTTTTTATTAGTATAAATTTGGGGCTTGAACGATACGCGTGATCGGGCTTTACACGAGTATATATATATATATATATATATATATATATATATATATATGTGTGTGTGTGTGTGTGTGTGTGTGTGTGTGTGTGTGTGTGTGCGCAGATATGTAGAAAAATAGGAAAGAACACGTCAGGTAAATAATCTTCGGAGTTCTTTAGTATTTTTGTTTTTATTTTTAAAAAACACAGTGCTCCATACAAAAGTAGAGCTTAAATTATAATTATTTTTAAAAAAATATGATTCCTTCGCTACATAAGAGTTTTCATGTTTCAAAAACGAGAACCGAAAACCTCAATATAATTATTAAAATTAAATTTAATTAAAGTATCTAGCCCTAAATTTTCGCTTGAGGATGAAACATGGGCTTCATACTTTAATTCAATTTAGTTTTAATAATTGTATTGAGGTTTTCGGCTCTCGTTTTTGAAACATGAGAACTCTTATGTAGCGAAGGTATCATATTTTTAAAAAAATAATTATATATATATATATAATTTACATTATTCAGACTGTTATCCTGTTATCCTCATCTTCATGGCCATATTCACAACGTTTCGGTCGTTGTATGCTCCGGCCTTCTTCAGGTGATTGGAATTTCAAATCGAACCCTTTATTTCCTCAGGCAGGGTAGATTGTTCTAGTTCCATGTCCCACACCTCTTCCGGATGTCTCAGCTATTTGACTTTTATTCCAACTCTCCAAGTTTTTTTTTGGGGGGGGGGTTCTGGCACTGACCTTTAATATTCATATAAAAATAGATACATTGAAATTGTCTAGCGAAAGCATCATTATCGCATTATAACCGTTAAAATTACAAATTGATAATAATAATAATAATAATAATAATAATAATAAGAAGAAGAAGAAGAAGAAGAAGAAGAAGAGGAAGAAGAAAAATATATAAATATAAAAAATTAATAAATATTTGACATCAATATAAAGAAATATCATAAATTAAAAATTTAAATTTATATTGCTCTGTTCTTACATTAAGCTCTCTCTGGATTTATATCCTTCGGGGAATTATCTCTACTAATCATCAAGTGATAATATATATGACACACTCATATCCTCTCTCCCACCTCACTTCCTCACTTCGTTAATTTTACGTATACTTGTTGAGGTCCGTCAAAAACGTGTGAATTTCTTTTCATTTTTCATTTCAGCTTTTGGAAGTAAAGTCTGATGATCCAGAACGCTGTTAAAGGGGTTATGGTGAAATAGCTTATTACATGGAATCTTAACGTGGTCTGTTTTTTATTCAATATATATATATATATATATATATATATATATATATATATATATATATACTAAGCCTGATTTAGTTAGTCTAAAGTTAGATATACATGAGGAATAAGAAAACTGTGTCTCCAAATTTTTACTGTCATGAAAACCTTTCGAAATCGTGTTTTTTTTAATTTTTTTGTATTAAAATTTTCAGCTTTTTTTAAATTATTAATTCATTAAAATTCAAAAAGTCAATATTTCATGATCAGATATTTCTTACTCATTTTCTAGTCATTAAGGATACCATTTCCTTAAATTTTTTATTAGAAAACAAGGACAATCTTGTTGGTACGTCTATGAATTATTTGATGAATATTTGTCTTCAGTATATTAGAACGTGTTGTATGGAATGAAACCAGACAGTGTTTGATGGTGACATTGTTCTACAGTCCTTTAGGATGATTTTCTAAGTATAGGTTAGATGTAGAATAAAGCCGAATTCAGTTGGAATTAATCTAGCAAGACAAGCTTGCTAAGCATTACACTATGTCGAAGTGATCAGTAAAATCCTTTATGTTGAGCAAGAATATAAATCCAAACTCAATGAGTTCTTCAGTAGAATACGAGACAGACATTGTGAAGGAATTACAAAATTATTTTTCTTGCATTTTCATTCATCCTCAGTGAATATAAATTTATCAAATGTAAAAATCTTTGAAAAAAATATTATAGATATTTAATTGATTTAATGATAGATAGATAGATAATTAGATAGATAGATATGAATGTACTGAGATATTTATGAATAGATTGAGATAGATAGATAGATAGATAGATAGATATGAACAGATTTATATAGATTGAAATAAATTTAATACTTTTATAAACCTTTATAAGCCAAATAACATCGATTTCATATATCTATAACACATCTCAGTCCGTATCTATCTATCTATCTATCTATCTATCTATCTATCTATCTATCTATCTCAGCCTGTTTAGATCTATCTATCTATCTATCTATCTATCTATCTATCTATCTATCTATCTATCTATCTATCTATCTATCTCAGTCTGTTCCTATCTATCTATCTATCTATCTATCTATCTATCTATCTATCTATCTATCTATCTATCTTAGTGCGTTCATTATCTGAATGTCTATCTGTCACTCGTCATCAGTTCTCCACCCGCCTTCATATTCCTTTCGTTTCTACCCCCACCCCCATTTCCTCCCGTGTCTCCTCCCAATCCACATCGTGCCGCAAACACTTTTTGATGTCCCTCATTTATGTCTCACCATTTTCATTGCATTTGTCAGCAGGTCATTTAACTTAGTGACGAAAAAAATGGCTAACATCATCCTAATTTGATGATGATTTCAAGTTAAAACATTTCAAGATCTTTTACTAATTTTCTTTCCGGACACGCGCTCAGCTAATCATATGGATACGCACTTCCGCTTCCTGTTCATAGTCCCCGTCTTCCTGTTCTTTCTCTCTACTTTCATTAGAATCATAAGAAATAAATTGAAATATTATTTCCAAATGTCCCTAGCTTCGTTTGGAATTCATTTCTTGAGTAGATGTAAATTTAAATAAGCAGTCATTCGTCAGAAATCAATGCATCTGGGCTAAGAGAACATGTCTGGTCAATTGAAATGGAATCTTGGAAAAAAGGTTTGCTTTGAGGCTCATTATACCGGAAGATATACAGTACAAGGCCATAGAAAAAAAAATGGACGCACCCAGAGAAGGTTGATTTTCGTATATTTACCAAGACAAGTGAGTAATAGAATTCGTTTATTAATACAGGTGTACATATGCAACATACATTTTAATACAACTCTAAAAATGATTGGTTGGGTAACCTTTTGCTTTAATAACGGCCTTAATTCTTCGTGGCATGTTATCTCTTCACTTGTTCTTGTAACGGCATTCACCCGGGGTGGGTTGAGCCGGCTACAATATTGGACTTTCATGGGAATTCACAAGCGGTCCCCAAACACGCATGTATAGCACATGAGATTTGATTATAGTGGTGAAGGTTTCATGCAGGACCATCCACACTTTTTGAAGGGCCGATTACAGAGACCTGGTGCACTACGTGCCACAAGGTCCCCAAACGGCTCTCCGCAGGTTTTGAATATCAGAGTTTTCCTTCTCCTAGACATTGCCATCCAAGGCTATAGAACCCAGTCTGTTCTGCTATTTACCCATAGCTGAAGGGAGAAGAAGAGGATTCACACCTTTCCCAAGGGTATTAGCACGTAATGGATTCGACTGGAATTCGAACTCGGCTCTCCGATTCCTCAATCTGAGTTGCTATCCATTACTCCACCGTGCCATGTTATAGACTAAATTCATTCGTAAGTCAGCGTCCTTCAGATTTTTTTCAGCATTTTCTTTAATTCGCTAAACAAAAAGCTCATTTTCTATGTTAACTTTCCTATTACAGACACGCCTGGCTATTATCGCCCATAGGTTTTCAGTTGGGTTAAGGTCAGGACTCTGACTAGGCCACTGGAAAAGTTGCAATTTTTCCCTCGTCGCGCTTTCACTCTAGATAACATTCATTTTTAAGGCAGTATGCTTAGGATTGTTATCCTGTTGGAACGATATTATAATATTGTTTTTCAAATCATATTTCTTTCTTGTTTACACAACCGTCGAACCATTTTCGGTACCCGAGACCTCGTTCGCGCCAGAACTTATCCCACCGACATTTATCCATTTCGGCAGTTTAGAAATGATATTCTGAATCAAGCGTCCTCTGATGGAGCGAGTAATGAGTCAATGCTCGTAAGTTTGATGATTTCAGCATTGAGGGTGGCGACTGGAAGACCCGATGTCTGACAACAAGACTCTGCACCATGCCACACAAGCAGGAGAAGCCAGTCATGGCTGCCAGACAATTTCTTTGACCAAATCATCCCTTACATCTGGCCACCAAACTCCCCAGATTGCAACTCCTTTGATTATTATGTGTGGGGGAACAGTTAAGCGAGAGACCAACAAAACTTGTAACGCCAAAGATGAACTGAAGTCATGGATTATGGTAACATTCGCCAACTTAAACAAGAAGATCACTCAGAAAAGTTGCAGGAGTTTTCGAAGTCTTCTGGAAGCTGTGATTGAAGACAACGGAGATTTTGTCGAATAAATTTACTCCTTAGTATTTCAAGATATTTTTATGGAATTTTGGTAAATATATCTGTTAAAATGAGATGGCAGTGTTATGTTCAGTTTGGCGTAATTTAGACGACAATTTATCCATTGCAGCCTGTACACACAAATACACATATACACATTTTATTCTTTCGTTTTCGGATTTAATGAAACCTTGAATGGCAAAATACGTTATCAGGTCGATTTAGCAATCAAATCTATTTCATGAAACGTATCTATTTGTCAAAATTTAAACACTCTCTCGGGATTTCTATATCTACTTTAAACACACACACATATATATATATATATATATATATACAGAAGTCCACCGCTATTAGGCGGACCCGGTGACCTCAGTTCGGTGGTAGACCCTAAGATTTTGCCCTCGTACCCTCAATATCGCTCACTTTTTTTTAGAAATCCACCATATTTTACCAATTTCTGGAACATTCTCTTCACGATAGACAGAACAACAATCATCAGATGGGTCTTAAGATGTTTTAATAATTACAACACTTTTTCACACGTTTTACTTTGATTTTGATGAACAAACAGCCCAAATTTAGCGGAATTTTAACATCTCGGCCGTTTCACACCTAATCCAATTTTATTGGTAATAATTAGACATGATTACTTTATATTTCTATTTCGCGCGCGATCAAAGTGTTCCTATAATATCGGACTAATTAATGGGAATTCAATCACTGCAATCAGATACCACAGATGAGGTATAAATAGGAGTACTTTTCTCCGGTTGATAATGTTCAATTTGACTGTCCAACAGTAGACATCAAGAATGTCTCATAAATAAACAAATATAAATAGCGCGTAGTAATTAGGGATCGCAATCTAGAATTCCCGGGAAATTGCTACCCCTAGTAGTAATACAAAATGTCTAAACGTAAAGCGTACACAATAAAGGAAAAAAACTCCATTTGTTATGGTCCAGGTTAGGACCAAGGAAGAACAACACGAACACAAGAGTAGAAATAACGAAGGTATATTACACGAAATAATAATACAAGATGTTGAAGGTGTTAGTATGACTGTCAGTCTGGTTTGGAGTGAACTGCTATCGGCTCGACGATTCGTCCCTCTCTCTTGAGAGGCGTAGTATACATAATGTTAAGAAGAGTTCATTCTGTAGTTATGGGTAATGATCCATGACATATAGATAGGACACGGAAGGGTGAAACGAAGGCAAAGATCAACAGAGAGACAGGGGATAACAGAATCCACTCTCAGGAGGAGACCAAGCTGCAAGAATTCACAGAGACTGTCCATGGGTCAGAAGATCTGTGGAGAAAGAAGACCCGGACAGCCAATGATGAACAGCTGGACAAGTCTATGCCTACCTAGTTTGTGAAAGAGCAGAGCCAGGGGACTCCTCTGTCAGGTCCCATCGTGAGGCACCAAGCAGAGAAGTTTCACCACCAGCTTGATGGAGCTATACGTATAATAAAATCAGACAATAAGCCCAATAGTTATATAAATAAATAAAATACATTCATATTAATAAAATCATCAATGTGTTTCTTCTCAAAATAATTATCATTTTAGAATAATATTTGAAGTAAATTATAATATATACAGAATAGATTAAAAAAAAAATGCTTGTAAAAAAACGAAAAATTATAAATTAATACAGTAAATAAATATAAATATATGTAGCATAATCCAATAAAGAGTGTGACATACATGTAAGTACGCCACTACATTTTCGGCTAAATGTCCATTTGGTTAAATGTCCGTTGGCCAAATGTCCGAGTACCCAGGACGACCGATATTACATAACAGGTTAGCATTTATTTCTTTGTTTAAAAGGAAATTTAACAGTATCTTGATACTTATCCTTTTCAGCTTAACTAGACTTCTACCAGATAAGGGAATGAAATAACTTGATTCCTTTGTACAACGTATATGCCTAGTTTGGTCAAAATCAGTTTGATGTCTCTCGAGTGAAAATGTATTACACAGACAGACACACACACAGACATCCTCTGTTTTATATAGAGAGATTACATTGTTGCATTTCGTTATCAGTTATTGTCAATTTCTTATTGTGTCCCATAATATCTATGGCATGACTGAATCTTCCATCCGTTACAGCATATTGTTATAAATGTTTTAGCATTAATTATTATTTTTAATATCTTATTGTGCATAATTTGAGTTTAGTTTGGTTTAGTTTGTTTTCTTTTACAGCATATCAACCACAATGGGTCATTTATTGCTGAAAAGGTTTTTTATTGCTGGTAATATTTTTTTTCCAAAAATGTATTGCTGGTAATATTTTTTCCAAAAATATATTGTTGGTAATATTTTTTCTTCAAAAATGTATTGGTGGTAATAATGTATTGCTGGTAATAATTTTTCTCGAAAAATTTATTGCTGGTATTAATATCTATTTTTACACTTTCATAGTGTTCTGACCCCAGTTTGGGGTTAACTATTTGCCCATAGCTGGGACCCTAACAGGTGCTACCACCCCGGGTCAGGGTGGACCGGGGAACACCAGTAATTAAGAGATGGTTCCACGCTCCTCAAAACCTCCGGATCAGAGACCTTGCTGCTAGACGTAGTTTATCGTCTTACCCAGGACGCGGATGTAGTTTGTCGTCTTACCTATTTGATCCATGGTATGAACGACTCTTCTACACGTGGTATAACTTTTATTAAAATCTTTTCTTATAATTGTTCTATTTTATAATTAGTTCTTGTTTTTAATCTCTTATTGTGCCTAATAAATTCTGTGATCAGAATCTGGTACGTATTTGATGACAGTATGATTTGTAATTATTAGTAATGTTATCTTACTGGGCCTAATTTATAACTTAAGTTTGATCATGGTGATGTATACGTAGGACAAAACAAAATATTTTGGTAGTATTCCCGGCCTCTGGCATCTGCTGGGGGTCTTCAACAGACCCACTAGAGATAAATGTAGTCGGGGAACGACTGTAAAAATTCTTTTTACAATCATTTGAAAAGGTTTTTTTAATGTCTGAAGCTAAAAGGTTGTTAGACCTCCTTTGCCATTCGACACATTTTAACCTTGACATGATTATTTCTCATTTTACGAAAGCATTTGTTCTTAAAGCTTTTGACATAGATGTGGATATTTATGATATTTGCTTGTCTTTCTTTGTATAACTCTTCTGTTTATTTATTTCATTCTTTCTATATCTCTTTTTTTTTTTTTCTTTCGTTGTCTCTTATCTGTCTGTCTTTCTTCCTCTCTCTCTTTCTTTTGCTATCTTTTCTGTTTCTTTCTGTCTTTCTTTCTATATCTCTTTTTTTTTTTCTTTCGTTGTCGATTATCTTTCTTTCTTTCTTTTTTTTAGTTTCTATCTTTCTTTTATCTTTAATTTATTTATCCAATTTCATTCTCTAACTTTTCTATTGTTTTTCTTTCTTACTCGCTATGTCTATATATTTCTTTCTTTCTTCTATTTCTTTCTCTTTTTCATTCTCTTTTGTTTGTTTCTTTCTTTCGTTGTCTTTTCAGTTTTTTTTCTTTCTATCTTTTTTCTTTCATTCTCTCTTCTGTTTCGGTCTTTTTTTCTTCTTCCTTTAATTCTGTCTTTCTATATCTCTTGTTCCTATCTTTCTTCCTTTCTATATATATTTTATTTTTCTTTCATTGTCTCTTATCTTTCTTTCTTTCTTTCTTTCTTTCTTTTTTTCTTAATATTCTTGTTTCTCGAAACGTACTTGAATATTTTGTTTATTTAATGTTTTAAGTCTTTTTTTTCTTTCTTTCTTTCTTTCTTTCTTTCTTTCTTTCTGTTTCTATCCTTTTTCTTTCTTTAATTTACTTATTCACTTTCATTCTCTTGATTTTTCTTTCTTCCTTTCTCTACTTCTTCTCTTTCTTTCTTTCTTTCTTTCTTTCTATATCTCTTCTATTTCTTTTATCATTGTCTCTTATCTTTCTTTCTTTCTTTTTTCTTTCTTTCTTTTTCTTTCTGTCTTTTTTCTTTCTTTAATTTATCCGCTTTCATTCTCTAACTCTCCTACTGTTTTTCTTTCTTACTCGCTCTGTCTATATTTCTTCTCATTCTTCTTTCTTTCTGCCTCTCTCTGTTTTCTTTGTATTTTTCGTTATTTTCTTTCTTTCTTTCTTTCTCTTAAGAACGAAAAGACAAACAAAAAAGAAAAGAGAAAATAAAGACAGTAGAACATTGTTTAAAAATGTGCAAATATTCTTTCTTTCCTTTTTTTTTCGTTCTTTCTTTCCGTCTTTCTTTCTCTTTTTCTTTATTTACTTCTCATTTTCCTAATTTTTGACTTCTCTATTTCTATTTTCGTGGGATTTAATGGCTTCACTTTTAGCATTTTCCTCTTTTTTTTTCTTTGTCTTTCATTTCTACGTAAAAAAAACCCACACGCACTAAACTTCTCTTCATTTCCAATGAAAGGTCCGTCTAATCTTAATTCTCAAGACGCCTCTCCGCTCGAACCAATTTCCCGGTACCGTGTCTAGAAATCTGATGTTCAAAATTCTTTGCCTCGTCAAGTAGGCAGGTGCGCTCTTTAGAACGTCATAAATTCTGCAGTCGAAACAAAAACTACTGCAGAAAGGGTAGGACTGGTATGAATACTAAAATATAGTAATAATAAAATGAAAGTGGGAAAACACGAAGGAACTCATGTTGAATACCAGTAAATAAACCATTGAAATATTTGATACTAAATATATATATATATATATATATGTGTGTGTGTGTGTACGGGATACGACTGGTAAATTGTCGCCATTTTATATCTTTAATTTTGCGCTTGCGCGTTGTTTGTTTTTTGATTTTGTCGTCTGCGCCGTATAGCAGGGTCAGTTGGGCACCGTCTGTGAGATTCACTCTGCCATAAATTTGCAAAGGGTAGTCTGTACTGCTTGGAATTCGCGCCGGAAGCTCCAATACGAACATTTCAG